GTCCTACTGACACAGTGGGAACAGGAGGGAAGGAACTATTTTAGTCTTGTTGACGCTGCTGAAGAGTAAAAATGGAAGTAATTAAAGGCCTATTCTAGTCTCACTTAAATCTCCAAGTCTTCAGGCCAGAGTTATTTTTGTTACATTGCTTTAATGGTGTTACATTGGTTAGACTGGGTTGGATTTTTTTTTTCCCTATTCTGAATTTAGGAAATGAGCCAACACTTTTCTGTGGTAGTGCACTCACTTCACTGAAATTTTGCCTGAGGAAGATTGTTCAGGTCCCAGAAGGAATTTTTCTAAATCCCAAGCAGCCCCACCATAACCAGTGCTTGGGGCAGCTGGGTTGGTGCCTAATGTTGTAGAAAGAGGAAGTTTGAATCCCAGCATTAGCTAGACCAAGGCTAGACTGGAAATAAGAATGACTCCTTATTCTTAAGGATAAGAATATCCTTAAGAATATAAGCACCTTATATTCTGCACCTTAGGAAAGGTGCTTGATAAATAGTGACCCTAAAGTCTTATTGTCCCCTATTTTTTCACTGAGAAAAACCCCCAAATCTTCACTGCTTAGGGCAAGAGCGGACCAGGCTTATTTGTAACAGCACCACTGCTGCCTATCTTGTCCTCAGTAAAGTCTGCAGTGGCTGTAAGCAGTGACAGAAATGGCCTTGTCCAGCTGCCATGCACATCCTCTGTGAAATTCATCTAATCTCATCTCAGCATCCCTTTTAGCCTTTCTGCTCCCAGGTTCCCCTGTGCAGCCACTGCAGGCTGCACCTGTGACTGTGTCTCCTTGGCTGGCACCTGTCCCATGTGGGATTAACCCACATCTGCACCCTTGCGTGGCCTCTCACAGTGGAGGGTGTCAACAGGAAGAGGTTGATCTCTTCTCAGAACAGATCTTTGTCCTGTGCTGGATCTCACAGGTCACTGCAGGCAAGGCAGTGTAAAGAGCACAGAACTTGATGCTTGTTTTTCCAAAAAAAATCAGTGTTGCTGCCCTCCTACATTAAGGCTTCATGTGGGTGTTTCAGAACTACCAGTTCATATAAGCAGAGATACAAAGTCCTCTGTTTGCAGAGTTAAGGAGGACCCTCAACCCAGTGTGCATTAGGTCTAAGCAGCCACAGAAAACAAAGCATGGCAGGAGCTCACCATGGGAAAGTCCTTCACCTCCCTTGCAAGTGGGGCTGAGCATCAGATCCCAGCAGATACTGAGAGCCTGCCCAAAACCTTTCAGTCCTTTGCTCCAGAATAACCCCTTAGAATCATCTCCCTGCAGACCAATTGCCCCAAGGAGGAAAAGGTTGCATTTAACCAGCCCCAGTGAGAGGTACTGCTCAGTTCCTGAGCTCACTGAAAATGCCTGTACTGGGTGGCCGCAGTACAGGTACCACAGGGTCCTTTAGAAATGGGGAAAAAGCTACTCCCTGTCTTCCCAGAAAAGCAATAAAGGACTGAACCTTTGGACCAGTCAAAGGCTCAGGTCAACAGAAAAGGAAATGCTTGGGCAGAGTGAGATATCATAAGGGGGAGGATAATTTTCTGGTGTGTAGGCAGGGAAATTAGGTCAGACACTTCGAAACTTAGTCTACATGTTTTCACCTCCAAGTGGTATTAACTGGTCATACTCATTTACAGAGACTGACTGAATGCTACAGGTGTATTTTAAACCTTACATCATTCTTGTTACTCCACCCTGAATTTTCTACAGTTCTTGTTTCAGTTCCTGAAAGCTATTTTTCCAGCTATACACAGGGAAATTGCTGAACTCCTCTGGCTCTGAACAGAGCAAGAGAATTATAGACAATATGTCTTATGGGCAATTCACTCCTTTATTCATCTCGGCAAGGGAGTGGATTGTTACATCCCAATGTCCCTTCTGAGCCCATTTTTTGCACTCATACAATCCTTGTAGCCTCTCCAGGGATACCAGCCACCATCATGTAAACTCATCAGACTTGATTTTTTGTGGTTGCCACTCTGTGTGCCTCACACTTGCACAGGTGTGTGAGAAATAAACGACCTTGTTGTTTTCCCGTAGCCTACCAACCTGCCATGATGCTGTCCCAATGCCAGCACCCATGAGAATCACTCACTCACCCTCTCCTGCTACAGCTGGGCAGTGGAGAGAGAAAAAAATTAATGAAGGGTTCATGAGTGAGATACAGGCCTGGAGAAAATACTTCAAGGGCAAAACAGGTTCAGCTTAAAGTTGCAAAGTGACATTTATTACTAACAGAACCAGAGCAGGATAATGAGAAATAAAATAGGCCTTTTAAACACCTTTCTTCCCCCAACCCCGCCCTCCTTTCCAGTGACAGCACAGGGAGAAAGGGCATGGGGTTTGGGTCAGTTCATCACCAAGATTTTCTTGCACTGCTTCAGGAGAGGAGTCCTTCCCCTGTGAGACCATGGGGTCCCTCCCACGAGAGACAGTTCTCTGTGAGTTCCTTCAGTGTGGCTCCAAATCTCATGAGCACAGGTCTCCCAAAACTGCTGCAATGTGAGTTTCTCTCACGGGCACACAGCCCTTCCAAAACTGCTGTGATGTGGGTCACTCCTCCACAGGGTGCAGTCCTTCGAGGACAGGCTGCTCCAGTCTGGAAGCAGGGCTCTCCTCTGAGCCTTCCCCTGGATCAGAGCCCCCTCCAGGCATCCACCTGCTCTGGCATGGGCACTTCCCCATGGGCTGCAGGTGGATCCCTGCATTCCTCATGGATCCATGGGCTGCAGGGGCACAGCTGCTTCACCATGCTCATCACCATGGCCTGCAGAGCAATCCTGGCTCCAGTGCCTGGAGCATCTCCTGCCCCTCCTTCTCCACTGACTGTGGTGTCTCCAAGTCTCTTCCCTCACATGTTCTCACCTCTTCCTCTTCTCTGACTAGAAGCAGAACTGTGTGACTTTGTTTTGATTTCTTCTTAAATATGTCATCACAGAGGCACTGCCAGCCTCTTTCATTGACGCAGTTTTGGTGAGCAGCATGTCCATCTTCAGAGCCATCAGGGATTGGCTCTGTTGGACATGGTTGAAGCTTCCAGCAGCTTCTCACAGGGGCCATCTTTGTGGGCCCCCTGCTACCAAAAACCAGGCCGTGCAAAACCAGCACACAACCCTGTTTGATTCATCATCATAAGCACTTGCCCAGCAAACAATGCCACCAAATGCCATGGCTGCCCATGTTCAGGTTCTCTTTTCTGCTGTGTGTTGTTTGAGAGCAGGGAAGTGGCCCAGAATGGTGAGCGTGTGTCCCTGGATGTGGGAGCTTTGCTGGGCCATGGATATCACCAGACTCCCAGAGTTCACAGAACAGTGAATGGAGCTGCTTGATCTCTCTCAGTTACTCATTCCAGCAGATCAAGGCTGATAATTCCCTATTCTGGCTTGTGGAGTTACTTTCCTGTTCTTCCAAGCATGGCTCTTTACAGAAAGATAAGCAAGATTTTAAAGAAAGAAGGCAATGAGGGCACTTCTAGTCCAGGGATGTGCTGGAGTCAGTTCATTACTGGTGAGCAGTTGGGGTCATTCCCACTGATGAAGGCTTGTGAAGTCCTGCTTTGGGCTTGCTGCTTGCCCTTTCTGTAGGATGAAACTCAGCAAGATGTTTAAGCTAAAGCACATGAGTAATCATGTGTGTGTTTGCTGGCTGGGATGAATGATGAAGGAACATGCTGAAACACTTTTCTGAATCACAGCTACATTTGAGACCCCTTTAAAATTCACTTCTGGCTATGTTCCATTGCAGGGCTGATACAAAGTGGTCTGGTTTTCACTACTTTGTGTTAAAAGTGATCCCTCTGTGCTGCCAGCAGGAAACTAAGACAATACACACTCATCTCTATTTTGTAAAAAGTTATTTTAGATCCCCCAAATGTTCAAACACCAGCACCTTGTTGGCATCAAGAACCAATTAACAAAACTGATGAATGAAAGGAAATCAAAATACAGTCAGATCTAGCAGACCTAGAGTCAGGAATGTAAATTGCACAATTGCACATTCTGTAAGATGACTTGGTTTGTTCTCTCTCCATTGTAATCAAAAGTGAATTACGATCTTGAAAGGTTCTATCTCTCCCAGATAACTGAAAAAAGCTAATTAAAAACAAAAGTCACAGATGTAATCATTGCTTAATGTTGTAAGCATAACATGACCTAATGCTATTATGAGTTCTGAACAAATTTCAATTAGGACTCCAGCTGGTAAACAGATAAATGTGATAACGACATTTTAATATTACTTGATAATTTGTTAGTAAAAGCAATTTTTATTTCAGCCATTTTTAAGTGTATAAAATGTGTATCGATTTAGATAAGTTTTTCAGCACAATTGGAAGACAAAAAAAACATTTCAATGAGTAGCATTTGAGAGGATCCTCTTTAGAGATGTGTTCTATTTTTATTAGTTAACCAATTTTGGGTTTTTTTTACATAGTCATCATCACTTTGTATCTTGCTAGTGACTTACACCATTACCAAATCAGAAGAGTAATAACAACACATACTTGTGTTGTACTCTGCATTGGGATGAATCACTTCTAGGCCTTTTGTTGTTTTGTTATTTCTTGTTTTATTGAGCTTAAGGAAATGTAGAAAGTCATGGCTGTGATGCGAGGTCAATGGTATTTCAGAACATGTGGGAAAACTAAAGTGCAAAACTGTAAGTTCTTTCCAGCAGGGCAGGCGTTGATGTAGTTCTGAGAAGATGAAACCATGAGTCTGACTGGATCCCTGTGATACCCAAGGATGCTAGCATTGCTTTAGAGAGCCAGGATGAGTTCCTCACTCTGCCATATTCCCAGTGAAAGTCTTTATTCACATTCCCATGTGAATAAAATAGTCAATTTACTGTGTCTCAGTTTCCCTAAATAAAAAAGGACATATCTGACTAAAAGTGACTGTGCTAGAAACCAGGAGTACAATTTTGCTCAATCTGCTTTTCTTTTTTTTTTTTTTTTTTTTTTTTTTTTTTCTTTCTTCTTTTTTGAGAGGCAAAGGGGAAAAGCCTGGCTCTGAAGGATGATCTCTCCTGCCCAGACTGGCATTCTGGCATTCCGCCTTCTGCTGAAACCGATGCTCAAGACCAGCATTTGATTTCAAGACAGGTGTGGAGTAGCTGCCTGGTAGAGTGGTGACAGCTTATCACCTAATCAGCACACAATTGCCCTCTCTCGTGACTTAGAACAGAGATAAATAAATAAATTCCACCACTGGAGGATCACAGTGGCCTGACAGCATTGAGGGAGGAAATCCAGTCCAAAATTAAGACACTGAAGGAAGGTACAATGCTCAGCTCTTCCTGCTGTGCTTTTAACCAATCTTAACCTTGTTCTCATGGGATCACCCCTAATGTGGGAGCACTCAGCATCCACTGCCTGGCCTCTGTGCTGAGGGGACTCACCTGCCATTTAGATAACAATGATGCACATCCTATGGACACCCATATTTCATTTACCTTCATTTGCATGCAGCAGCCTTCCTGAGTTCAGAGTTATTTAATGGCAGAGACAACAGAAGCTGTCACTACCCTGAAATAAAATCCTTGGTATCGTTCTGTGACATGATTTTTTTCCCCTTCCTCCTTCAATTTATCCATTTTAAATATTTATTTTATACTCTGTAAAGTTACTTTTACTCTTGAAAGAGCAAGGGCTAAGATTTCTTCTTCTTATACAAGAAGAAGCATTGAAATAAATACTTTCCTCAGCAGCAATAACATACACCAAAAAGAGAACAAAATCCAGTATGAAAACATACTTTTCCTAGTTAAAAGCACAATCATTCTTGGGACTGAAAGCTCTCCTGACTAGCTGTTGTGTCTTCTCCATTATTTACTCATATCACAGTAGCAACTGGAGGTTTGAAATGAAATACTGGATTGTGTGTGCTAAGCTCTGCAAGATGCAGCAGGAGCTCTCAGTCTGCAAAAGCAACAGAACGCTCTGGGAAGTGGAATGCCACTGCGTCCATGAGAGAGACGAAAGTGTAGAGAAACAAAGTGACTCAGTGACACAGGAGGTGGCAGATGCAGTTTGTGCTGAGGTCAGGACTGAAACGATGCTCTTGGAGCATTTGTACTCTGTGAGTTCCTTCTTCCTGGTGGGAATTTATGAGAACCTCCCAAGGCCTGCCTTATCACTGTGATCCCCGAGTGACTCTTAGCGAGGGGGGATTAGCGAGATGCTGTTTTCTAACCTGACATTTCCAAAATGTAAGTGCTTACCTTTGAGGCAGTCACATGGAATTCAACTCTGTTTATGGAGAGCCAGTCAATACTATCCATAATATCTGAGGCATGATTCATCTGACCTAAATGTAAGTGTCTGCTTTAGAATAAACTGACTGATGCCTTCTGGCTGTATTGACCAGCTCTCCAGCGAGTGTAACAGGAATACAACCAATAGACAACCTAATTTAAAGAGATGAATAACACTCCATTTCAGTCTGTGCACAGTGATGCCTTTGCAAAAGGTAAAAAAAGCTCTCCTATCTTAACAAATGCCGATGTGTTGCTGGAGTTGGCACCCATGGTGCCAAGATCCTAAGCAGATGCAGGGATCTGAATAGACTGAAATAAAGTTAGTTAATGGGAGACACATTTTGCCAGAGCCAACAAAAAATTGGCAAAACAATCTTTGGACTGCTGCAATCTGCATCACAGAAGCCTTTTCTGTGTAGTGTAGGTAGGTTTTCTTATTGTCTGCATCTGGAAATAGGCTTGGCTGTCTTAGAGCATACCATAGCAAAGTAGGCTGTCCATACACCAGATGAAATCCAAGAGAGCTTGAGGGTGAATGATGAGTGGAAGATATTCATCATTCTGACCATCCGGCCTGTCTCCCAAAGTTGCACGGCTTCAGGTAGAATAAGGTCCATCTCTGCTGAGTGTCAGTGTGGCTCCAGCACTTTGAAAGCATGGAGGAAATCTTACAATAGCATCACATTCTATGATACTGCCCTCAGCTGCATAATATCCCCTCAGATAAAGTGACACATCTCAGTGGCCTCAGCAACAGGAGTGGGATCTGGTCTTTGGCACTGGCCAGAGCAATGTCAGGTTGGGTCATTCATGGATGTCTCACAGAGTGAGGTGACTCCAGTGTGGCTGTCCCAGCAGTAATTTATTTCATTAGGGTCCTGCAGAGGTTTCCTTCTTCAGCTCTGAGTTTACTTCTTTAGTGCTTATCCTCACCTTACTTCTGTGCTGAAGGCTACTGAGGTTCATTCATATGAAGTATATCACATATCCCTGGTGGCAGGTCATTTCTTAAGCCCTGTTTTCCATTTTGCTCTCTGCACAAGATTTCACTGATTGCTATCCAGATCAGATATTGCATATCAGATAAAATATAACCAGCAATTCCTTCCTTCAGGAACATTCACTTTATCTAACCCCTACTGCTTAGTTTATGATCAGCATTCCAGCCCATTGCCTACCTTTTATCCTATTCTCATTCCCTCCTTCATGCTCCTTCACTCAGAGGATGTATTTTTTTCTAAAATATAGGCCTACTTTTGTTTTAATTTATCAAAACCCATTGCTTTCAACCCTCCATATGCTAAATGCAGTACTTAAAGTCAGACTTGGATGATGCCAGACCCTTCCTAGTCCCTTCCTTCAGCTCCTTTCAGAATTTACTAATCATAAAACCTTCCTCCAAACCAGCACTCCACCCTCAGCTCTCTTTGACGCTATCAGCAATGTCTTCCACGATCCGATTCTCTCATTCCTTTTTCCCCATCTGTAACTCCTTCTTCTCCATATTTCTCATTTGTTCTCCAAAGTGGTAATTGTGTTCTAGAAATGAAATATTTCTGGCTCTTCTGCTGCCCTATTCAGTTACTGTAAAGGTACAACAACAAATCTATTTTAGTAGAGTAGAATATAGAGAATATCTGTAAGAATATAGAGTATATTATTGCATAAAATATACAACTCAGCTGCAGCAGCTGCATTTGACCTCAGAAATGTTGCTGTGCCTTAAATATTCTAGAATTTGTATTTTATTTTATGTACCTCTTCAAACATTTTTATGCTTCATAAGCCCCCTGAGAACCTGTGTAACTACTCAATGACCACAAATCACAAAGAGGAAAACTCAGCACAACTCCCTTATTTATTGAAGCCATCCTACTACAGATTTGCTTCCTTAGTTCAATATTTATCATAGGGTTTTTGCCTATCTTCTGGTTTCTGCAAACCCTAATTAACTGAATCTCCTTTAAACACTGTTTTATTGGCAGGGTGTTCAGACAGCCCTGAAAACACCATATTAATTGATATTGTTGAAAATCTGGCTTTTCAGTGGTCAGCAACCCTTCCTCCAATTCATCCTTGCAGTCTCTCAACAAGGTCATTTTTATGCTCTGGCAAATGGAATAGATTTTTTATTATTTCTATAGTTAAATAGCTCTGACATCCACTGATTCTCACATCAAATGTGAATGTATGCAATTATTACCATCCCTCCTTTATCAAGGGGGAAAGAAAGGGCAGCACTCCCAGAGCATGAGCATGCCCCTCAGGTTAGTCTCCCCAGGCTCTCTGTACAGACACAAGCTCCTCCAAAGGACAGCATTAGAAAAGCCTGCTGAGATGAGCCTACTAAGATGAGTCAAATAATTCAGCTGGCTAAATTAGACTCTTCAAATGAGTCAGTGCTAGCACTCCTAATGGCTTCAGAGGATGTATATTCCAGCAATTAGACACAATGTGTAACTGGAGTTCTATATAATTAGCTATACAAATTGCAGCAATATACAATAGGTTGCTATGTCTTAAATAAGCAATGAATAAGTACAGTGTGACTGGAGCTCAAGGTTATTCTTGTCTTCAATTACCTCCTACAAGAAGCCTGCAGGGCTTTGATTTCCAAAGGGAGATGAAGTTTGTCTTTGTTAAGCCTATTATAACCAGATGACAATTCTTTAGGCCTGGCTTAGTATTCAACTTAGGCACTTCTTTTCTGTCTGCCTTACATATTCCTTGGTTATTGAATCTCATTTTGTGCAGTGACATTTCTGTTTTTTTCCTTACACCTCATTTCTATTCTTCTCTAAAATCTTACAAAGCTATGATTGACAGGGAACTCCAGAGGCCAAAGCAGCATGGCATCAATGTTGGATCAGGTCCCTCAAGGCCTTTGTGCTGCCTTGCTTTGAATATCTCCAAGGATGGAGGCTACACAGCCTCTCTGGGTCTCTGATGTAATGTTTGTCCACCCTCACTGTGAAGAACTTTTCCCTTATAGCTAATTGGCATTTCTAGTTTCCATTTGCTGTACCCTGTGTCTGCCAGCCCTTAATCTGGATTCATCTATTTTAAACTCTCTTTGGGTAGTAGAAAATATTAACATTTTTCCCCTTGGCCTTCTTTTTTGGCAGCTAAACAAGCTTGGCTTCTGAAGCCTCATCTTGTCCATCATATGCTTTGGTCCCCAACCATCCAAGCGAAGAGCTTGCTTTAGCTCATTGATGACTTTGTTATCCTTTGAATCCCAAAGTGAAGTCAGTACTCTGGATGTGTTCTCTTCACAAGTGAAAAGCAGAGGGGGAAATTCACTTGCTCAGACTCTCAGCTGTGTTTTTGCCAATGCAGCCCTTTGTGCAGTTGACTTTTCTCACTATAAAGCTGGTTTTCAAAACTCATGTTCAACTCCTTGTCCCTCAGCACCCCAGGTCTGTTCTGCAAGGATGATTCGTAGTCAGCCACTTTTCAGCCTTTAATTATTCCAACCCACATGCAGATCTTTGTTTCCAGGAACAATTTCCAAATCTTGATCTTCACAGGTTCTAAGACTGCATGTCAGATCCATCACTAATGGCTGTTGGCAGAGTTCTGCTAAAGCAAATGGAACAAATAACATTTATGTAGCAAAAGATCTTGATCTCGCTTTCTTTTTAATCCTGATATTTTTTCTCTCAATATCCTCCTTAATGGTATAAACATCCAATCTTCATTTCTATTCTTACTGTGCTCTTAGCTTCAATATTAACTTGTGGTAATGATTTAATTTTTACGGGTTTTTAATCTGAGATGGTTGGTTCAGCTTGCTTCTTTCTTTAACAGGATCTTTATTTCACACTGCATGTTGTAAATATGCTGATAAATGTGTTAATTGAAATGACTGTCAGATATACTGAAAATGAATCCTTGCAGGAGTCCTACCCAGAGAGTGTATTCATAGCTAATTCTAAAGCATAGATCTGTACAAGTTAGACTGTTTTTTGCACTATAAAGAAATAACAATGAATAATTTGCTGTGAAGCACAAAGACACAGGTACGCAGGGATGCACACACCAGTGCACACTCTCAAGGAGATGCTTTAGTTAGATTCATTATAATGGTGGACAGCGTGGGCAGTTTTGTCAGTCAGCTGAGCTCTAATCAATCTGTCTAATGCCTTTCACAATATCATTTCATTAGAGGCCCAAAATAATCATTTGCTCATCTGCTCTTCAGCTGCTGGGTTTGATTTGTGTTCTTCTATTGTGGGAACTAATGTGTATCCCATAAGAGCATTTCCTATTTATTGCTTATGTGCTAAGAATATGTATTGCCTTTATTTTATAGACATTAGAGGGTGAAATCCAGTGGGGGATTTCTACAGAGTATAGTATGTAAAACAGTTAAGTTCTTGTAAATTTGAAATGGCTCAAATATTCACTGACTTATCAACCATCTTCCCCACATGTGCCAGGTTAATTAACATCCTACAGAAGCCCTTAGGCATTTTTATTGCAATTCTTCAGGCTGTATTCCACCTTTATTTAGACCTCAGTTTTCAATGAGCTTAATGGTAATTTGAAAGAGGATGTGGATAAAGCAAAAATCTGCCTTCAACAGTCTGTGTCCATCTAGAGAGAGTGGGAGCAGAGATGTAATCAGAGGAGTGAAAGTTCCCTCTGATACACAGGAGAGCATAAAAAGAGCAGAACCATTGAAAAAGCAGTGTCCAGCAAAGAACAATGAAATCCTTAGGCCAGTGTGACCAATATTCCCATTTCCATGTGTTGGTTCTGGAACACATTTTTCTTCCCTCTAATACTTCCATAATGCCATTATAGAATCTTATACACCTTGATAATGATGTTTACATTTTCCTCTGTTTACATGCTGCATGTATTCACATCCAGTATTTATTTGTTTTCATGCTAATAGCTGTCATTATTCAAATAACACATTTCAGCTGCCTTGCTGAGACACCAGAGTACCTCCATAAGGGACGTGGGTGTTTTGCATGCCAGACTGACTGAAGCTCTCTTTAACCTCTGATCAGGATCCTCCTCAGGCTGCCTCACTCAGATCAGAAAAGCTGTCTGAGGAGCTTATCTTAGGTTCTTTGTGGCTGAGTGGAACTAAATTACCTTTCTCCCTTCCTTTCTCCAGGTCAAAAGCTGGGCCACAAAACCCACGTTGTCTGAGGGAGCATGGCTGACCAAGAAGGAAGAGGAAGAAGCATCTGCAGCTGAATTTTGTCTCTTCTGGCTAGAACCCTTGTGAAAAAGAAGGAAGTCTGGGGCCAAGGCTTTCACCTGCTTGAGAGAGGTACCACAGTTCTTATTCTCTAGGCATGTGATCTAAAATATTCATGGGACTATGAAGTTCTGGTTCTGCTGAATATGGGCCACTGTGCAAAAAACAATTGTATGAAATCAATTGTATGAATCCAGAAAGATCCTGATTCTTCAGCCTATTTAATGGGGCTGTGGCTGAACAGTACTGGATTCTTTTATCTATTTCCAGTGCCTGTGGCAGTATTTCATGTAATGACCTTTCTGGGTAAAAAACATGCTGTTTCTGAAACAGGCTTTAGCTGCTGATTGCATGGTGTTCCTCATCAGCTAAAACAAGGTATTCTCCCCACCAATGAATTATCACAGAGTGGTTTCATCATTCCCAGAAGACGCAAGAACATCATTTATACCATCTTTGGTGGAAAAATGCCTAGGATTTGTGTTTCCACCTCCTCAGTCAGTTGTGTGACCCCAGGCTCCACTGTAGGAATACATTCCTTCTGCTCTCAGCTCTCAGCTCTGCTTAATGCAGTTTGAGTTCTCCTAGTAGGTTGGTCTCAGAGGTTTTCTGTGTCCCTCTGTCCACCTCTGGGTGACATCTGAGCAACTCAGCTTTCCACAATGAAATAGCAATGCAGCTTAGCTACTGACAAGGGCAGGCAGCTGTCCCAGTGCTCAGCTTTAACATGGGTTAAGACACACTGTGTCTTAGGTATTTTTATTCCTTGATAGTTTTTACTGTCTGGCAAACTTAGTAGGAACAGTGACAGTCTCTCCAGTATTTTTTCCTCATCTAGTAAGTTAGGTTCCCTTGGTAATGTTAGGAGTCCTTCTCTGCCCATCCCAGTTTGAATTCAGTATTCCTGAATGTGGTTACACACTGCATCCCACATAAATTTCAGCAGAGCTGTATATTAATACTTCAGTATCTCTCCTGATATAACCAGTCATCTACTACCGTCTCTCCTGTCACTTAAATGTCAGAAAAAAAATGTGTTTGTATGAACAGGTTACCCAAGTCATTTTAGATTATACAGCAAGATGGTAGCCAGTAGATCATAAAGGGTTTTACTAACCTTGGCAATGCTGAACATAACTTATTTGTCTGACATGTTGCTCACAAAAAACCTGAAAACTGAAATTTTAGACTTTTTATATTTACAGCACCTAATTTTTCTTCCCTCAGACATTTTCTCTGAATTTTGAGGGAATTCTCTCACTTCTACCTGTTTCCAGCTTCTCTACAGTGGAGACAAAATTTGTCTTTTTTTTTTTGTACCTACAGAGATTTCTTGTTTTATTTGGGCATTAAGGTTGTCTTCTGCCCAGCTTCAAGGTCATCTGATGATTTTAAGATGTCTGGTTGTGAAACAATGGTACAGCAGGACTAGGGAAATGATCACCGCCCTATACTCAGTACTGGGGAGGCTGCACTTTGAATATGTGAATATATGAATTTTAGGCTCTTATTGTAAAAAAGTCACTGAGGGGCTGGAGTAAGTCCAGAGGAGGGCTGAGAAGGGGTCTGGAGCACAAGTCTGATGAGGAGCAGCTGAGTGAGCTGGGGGTGTTTAGCCTGGGGAAGAGGAGGCTCAGGGGAGACCTTACTGCTCTCTTCAACTCTCTGAGAGGAGGCTGGGGAAAGAGGGGAGTCAGCATCTTCTGCCAGGTAAGAGGGACAGGACAAGAGGAAGTGGTTGTACATTGCACCAGGGAAGATTTAGTTTGGATCTTTAGAAAAAATTTCTTCACAGAAAATGTTATCAAGCACTGAAAGAGACTGCCTAGGGAAATGTAGGTATCACCATCCCTGAAGGCGTTTAAAAGACATGTAGGTGTGGCACTTAGGGACATGGTTAAGTGGCAGAGTTGGCAGTGCTAGGTGAAGAGTTGACCTTGATCTTAGACATCTTTTCCAACCTAAATTGTTCTGTGATTCTCCGATACAAGAGAAATTATTAAAATTCTGTACAAATGAAGTTATTACCCTAAGAATAACCTAAGGATCTTATATTCACGCTCATAAGTGCTGCATTCAGCTCTGGGGCCCCCAGCAGAGGAAGAACATTGATCTGTTGGAGCAAGTCCAGAGAAGGCCATCAAAATGGTTAGAGGGATGAAGCACCTCTCCTATGAGGAAAGGCTGAGACAATTGGGATTGCTCATCCTGGAGAAAAGAAGGCTTTAGGTTGATCTAGTTGTGGCCTTTCAGTACATGAAGGGAACTTACAGGAAAGATGGAGAGAAACTCTTTACAAAGACATGTAGAGACAGGAGAAGGAGGAATGGCTTCAAAGTGAAAGAGAATAAATTTAGATTAGATGTTAGAAAAACATTCTTTACTGTGAGAGTGGTGAGACACTGGAACATGTTTCTCGGAGAAGCTGTGGATGCCCCATCCCTGGGAGTGTTCAAGGCCAGGATGGTTGGAGCTCTGAGCAATCTGATCTACTGGAAGGTGTTCCTCCCTGTGGCAGAGGAGGTGGGAATGAGGTGATCTTTAAGGTCCCTTTCATGATTCAAATCAGAATCAAATCAGAATCAAAACCATTCTATGATTTTATGTTAAATGTTGCAGATTCAGGGTGTAGCATCCTGGGCTAAGAGAACTAGCAATAACCTGATACCATGAGAGGTTTTGGTTATCACACTGATACCAGATGGTTACTGGTTCTTTGTTCTTTGTTCTGACCCCTGTCATCTTTTGCTCAGTCTGCTGTTCACATACCACATAGAAAACACAATAAGAAACACTTGAGCATTTATCAAATTATTTAGGGCAACCTACAGATAAACCAGGTGACATCATATAATTTCATCTCAGAAAGCAAAGCAAGGTTTATACAAACCCTGCAAGGTAACCCTGCAAAAAGCAATGAGGCGTTTAATAATCCTGCTTCAAACAAATTCTTGAGTTTTGCCTAAGATGGACTTTTGAAGTCCATGCAACTACATTCACATCAAGCTGAACATTATCAAGTTATTTTTTCACTTATTCAAACATTGATATAAAATTTCCAGTCAATGTTTTTCCTTAGTAGAACTGTATTTGTGCAGCTCCCACAAAAAGAAACTGAAAAGGTAACAAGGGAAGTTACCACATTATGTCTTTTTCTTTATTTATTTTTTTAATTTCACACTATAATATTTATTCTTCAGTAATATTTATTTAGGCTTTGTTGGTAAAAGGAAGCTGGATTTTTCAGAGCTCAATTCTCCCTACTGAGTCAAGGAGATCCAAATGTAAATACAGGCTTTTAAATTTTATCTAAAATAATTATAGTGGGAGCTAATAAAGCATTAGGCACTTTTGAACATGTGACCTCTACACAGGGGATTAAAACCAGTTGTTCCTTTCTGAAAACTTTGTTCATACCTGCATACTACAGGAGGTCTGGCTTCTCCACTCTTCAGTGGTTTCTTTTTCTTTATACAAAGATGGGATCCTCTTACTGAGGCTGAGACCTGCAAACTCCTGAGAATCGATCTGAGAGTGTAAAACATATTAAATCATTGCATGCCAGAAGGCTAACTGCAAGACTGACTTTCAAATAGAATTTTTGTACAAAATCTATGATGCTGCTGGAATTCTTTCTTGGAAGAATAGCAAGGGTTATGTTGTACAGATTGAAATCTGGCAGAAGAAGAAGGGATTATGGCATACAGTGACCAACAGCACGGAGTCAGTCATGTCAAAAGTTCATATGCAGTATGTGATATCAATAGTTTACAAGGCACTTCCATTCCTTTTGTCTATCAACAAAGCTGTTTGGGAGGTTTGCCAAGTTCACTGGTTCTGCTACACCACAAGTCAGTGAAATATTCTCACATATAAAATGATGTTATGTCACGAATGTGTATCCTTACTGTGCCTCCAGTGCAATGCAGCAGGATCCATTGGCTGTATTCAGCAGTGCCAGGGAACAGGGAACATCCCTTGACATCACCAAATCCACAGCTCTGTTATTGCCACTGAGATCTCTGAACATTTTGCCTTTTTTTATCAGCCCAGTCTTACACATCAAGAGACAGGAGAGTAAACTCTATTGAATATGTGTGTGTCTGTGTCAAAAATTGCTGAAGGGGGGGAGCCTTCAGAATGTAAAGAAGTTTTGTTAATGGCCTAAGGCATTGGAGGGGCATCCCAGTTTGATAAGTCTCCTAGAGAGGGTTTTCAGTGAAAGGAACTGGAATGCAGGTTTGCTTGATTCCCAATGGCACAGAGGTACGAGGGAGAATAGATTATATTTCCTATCTTTCCTTCTGAGTACAGTACTTGCATGGTGCACAAGATGAGATATTGATGGTCTAAGGGCATGGCTCTCCCAAGACCATGTTTTTGAAAACCTTATCAGTGCTCTTTCAGGGATGAATAACTGAACAACAGAAATTATCATCTAAACATGAACTGGGAGGATGAAATGGCAAATCACCAACTTGAGGTATATTCATTTTGAAATAGAAGCATGAGGAGGGGTGGTCTGATCTGTACAGACTGCCCCATTCTCAGCTATTATATGCAATTTTAATTAGGAGGACAAACTGGGGCTAGAGATCCTGAATGCGGTTCTGTGTATTTACAAGCATGCACTAAGCCTGTTATCCCTGAGCATGGGAACAATCAAATATGCTTTCCAGTCTCATCTCAGCACCCCCAGACCAGCCCCTGTGTTCTGAGACTCTGTCCTTGTCCCATCTTGGTCAGCTTCTTCTAGTGGATTTACTCAGCTTGTTCAGTTTTCCTAGTTATATTCCTGTGCTGCACTCTCCTACACACACTCACACCCACACTCCTTTCCCATAAGAAATAGTCACTGAAACACATCAGCTTATAAAACTGAAACTTTGTGGTAGGTGGATATGTGTGTTTTCCTTCTTTCCTTCCCTCCTTCCTTCCCTCCTTCCCTCCCCATGCACCCATCCCTTCTTTAATGAATTTTTTTTCCACTGTAATTACAACCCTTGGGGCTGACCCTTGGGCAGTCCCAGGGAAGGGGCCACGTCTGTGAGAAGCCAAATGGGATGAATTGT